TAGAAAGCTTCCCAGAAGAGTGGAAGCTGTTATAGTTGCAAAGGGAGACCAACTCCATATTAATGCCTATGGCTTTAGAATGAGATGTCATGAAAGCTCCTATAGGTGTAATGTGTAGGTGTCCCAATATTTTTGTCCATATAGTGTATACATACAGTCTATCATTAGCAGAAGGGGTCAAGTGAGGGGTCAAGTAAACACATATGCTAACGCTAGCTACCAGGTTAGCGTAGCCTCTTTCGTCACCTTTTTGAGCAACCAGAATCGTTTTGACATAATTCAAATGTAAAATGTATATTTAAATTTGCATTTCTGTGTGTAATGGCTATACAAAGTTAATATGGAAAAGCAAAGTGCTTTTGACATTTCATATTCATTGTCTTAATGGTCTGACTCTGACATAATCTCTGATTTGCAACTGCATTTCCTCATCGTTGCACTCCAGCTCTGCAAAATTAAAATGTATTTGCATATTATTTGCAATTGCATTTTCACTGTCAGCAAGGTTTCCTGTCAATCAAACGCTGTGAGTGGGACATCAGGAGTCCAGAATATGCGGCCATGGTACTGATATATATATATAATTAACACAGCACAGGATAATATATAGTCTTTAGACCTATGATGAGATAACAGGTACCAGTTTTTACAAATGTTTTATTTGTGGCCAGGTGATAATGATTAATTTGATAATCAGTTAGGTGATTTTTTTGCCAATGCTCATCTGCCAAGTTATATCAAGTGAAGTATTTCAGTGAAAAGCAATAATTATATTTATATTCAAATACAGTGTCACAGAAATTGTGTGTGTGTATGTGTGTGTGTGTGGTGTTTTTGACGACTTGTGGAAAGAAACTACTGTGAGGGCCCGAATGCTGTGGTACCTTCTTCCAGATGGCAGAAGAGAGAACAGTTTGTGTGCGGTCAGTCACAATGCTAGTGGCTTTTTTCGGATGCAGCATGTGGTGTTAATGTCTGTGATGGAAGGAAAAGAGACCCCAATGATCTTTTCAGCTGTCCTCACTATTTGCTGGAGGGTCAATTCCCAAACCAAGCAGTAAAGCTGCTTCTCAGGACGCTCTCTATAGTGCTGTGATGGGGTCACTAAGTTTGCCCCATCACCAGGCCTGTGAAGGGACACTGGGGCATGAAAAGGGACAATGCCTCTTGTTGGGGTAAAGCCTAGGTGAAATTAAAATGTGCACATAAGAAATACTTACCTTGTTCTTGTTCTGTCCTGATCCTTGTGGGACTGCGGGCGCCTTCCAGGGCTTCCCTTACACTGGCCAGTAGAGCCCATGGCTGTGTGTAGAAGGGGGGGAGGTGGGATCCGGGAACCTGTAGGGAAAGACTCAAAGAGTTAACATGGTAAACCAATATAAATGAATGTACTTACCGGTAAAGCTTCTTGTTATGTGTTTTATGTATATTGTGTTTATTGTGCTGAAGTTGTGTTTTGTTATTGTTTTTTTCGTGGAACCCCTCACTTGACCTGGGGAATGGTTTGGTCTACCTAGCTGGGGGTGGGGCTACGATGTTAACTGGACCCCCTGGTGGTTCATTCAAGGAAGAAAAGGAGAGGGAAGGTACGACATCCATGTGGCCTTGTGGCTTCTGGCGCAAACCGGCTGATGTTTTAGTCAGAAATGTCTAGGTGGGACTGCATGAGTGACTAGAAGTAGTCTGCTGTGTCCTGGTCATATTAGCTGCATTGCAACCTGTTTGTTTTATGTTTTTACTCAGTCTTTTCTTTCACTTTTCGCTTGTTTGTGTGCAAATAAAATATCATGTGTGTGCCAAGTCCAATTCTGGAGTTCGGCCTGATGTTTTCAAGGGGAACCCTGTCCTCTACACTGTCACGCCCAACAAGTGCCTCTGTAGAAGGTAGTAAGGATGCTGGGTGGGAGATGAGCTTTCCTTAACCTCCGCAGGAAATAGAGACGCTGCTGGGCTTTCTTGGCTATAAAGTTGGTATTTACGGTCCAGATGAGGTTCTCTGCTAGGTGAACATCAAGAAACTTGGTGCTCGCAACGATTTCCACAGGGGAGTTGTTGATGGTGAGCGGAGAGTGGTCACTCTGTGCTCTCCTGAAGTCAGCAACCATCTCCTTTGTTTTGTCTGCATTCAGATATAGATTGTTGACTTTGCACCAGTCTGTCAGTCGCCGCACCTCCTCTCTGTATGCTCACTCATCGATCTTGCTGATGAGACCAACCACAGTAGTGTCATCAGCAAACTTTATGACGTTGGTAAAACTGTGAACTGCCACACAGTCGTGAGTCAGCAAAGTGAACAGCAGCGGACTGAGCACACTGCCCTGGGGGCTCCAGTGCTCAGTGTGATGATGTTAGACATCTCTCAGTAAGAAAGTCCAGGATCCAATTGCAGAGGGAAGTGTTCAGGCCCAGAAGGCTCAGCTTTCCAACAAGATGCTGAGGAAATATGATTTTGAATGCTGCACTGAAGTCTATGATCAGCATCCTCCTGGTGCTGGCTATGAACTGTTAGCATAGCTAGCATGAAAGCAGCTCTGTTCACCACAGAACATGTTCCTATCTGTCCAGCACTGACACAGGTTTAGATGATAATGACTCAGTTCTGAGGGAGTAAGGTCGAGGAGCTGGCATTGAAGTGACGGGAATGTGTAATTAAACCTGTTCTGTGGTGTTTGGATCTGTAGCTTGATTGGCTAACTTAACGTTAGCTTAGCGAGCAGGCCCACAGACCCAAACAGTGAAACCACCACAGTACAGGTTTGTTTCTGACTAAGCGGTGCTCTGCCGACACAAATTAAATGATACAAATTGAAGTCTGAGAGAGCAAAAGTCAAGCAACTATGCATATTAGTGTTCTGATTATATGGCTGTACTGGCAGAAACAGGTATATTTGTTTTTAGTCACCTGCTAATTATACATGCAGATAATTCTTTTTAGTTAAAGATATTACCATTTATTTAGTTTGAACTGGCACATTGTTTTTACAGTCTACAGTGGAGGCGCTCTGGAATCTACAGGACAGGCTCTTTAACCACCATGTAACCATATAAAATGGGCTGTGGGGCTGAGCCCCTGATGTTGGTACAGTCTAGTCTCACTGCTGGTCATCATTTAATGTTTTTTAATAGCTTAGCACTATTGAAGCTGGAGTGTTTCACCACGGGGTCAAATGTATATCATAAACTTGTGAAAAACTGCCCATAATTAGACATTTCTATGTATGGTGTGAGATCTGAAGGAGCTGTGATGTGAACAACAACTGATCAGAGATGTCTTCAGTGCTAAAGAAGTGCAGAAAGAGAACTGAGATCCCTTTAACAGAAAGCACTGAGGTCATTTTCAGGTGTGTTTTATATTCCCAAAGTGTGTTTTTTTTTTCTTCCATTTGATAAAAAGGAAAATAAAGAGAGGGAAGTGGTTGCAGATTTTGCTTGAAAACACCTTTTACACCTACGTTGCCTGAATGGACAACGCCCAAATTGGCGACTGCTTGTTATATTGTTTCATACAATGGAAGTCAGAATAATATAATACATTCTCAGAAAAAAAAAACACCTTTCAGGGCACAAATGCTGTTAGTGGTGGTGGGGCGGGGTTATCTTTGGTTACGTTTGGTTAGGGAACATAATTGTACCATACACTGTTGCAGTTGTATTTTTAAGTTACACTGACTCTATTCATCCCATCCTGACTCTGGGGTTTTTTGTGTTATGTTTCTGCTTAAAAATGTTGAGTTCCTCTCCACTAGGAATATGAATGTAGTGTACATTTAAACAGTTGGACTTTAAGGACCATATTGTACCTTATACATTTATATTGTTTGCACTTTGAGCTAATACTCATTTCAACATGTTTGCCCTTCTTTCAGGGCTCCATGTGCTCGGCCCTGCTGGTCCTCTGATTGCAAAGTTGGGGGGCTCAGTGATGCTGCCCTGTTACGTTGAAGCCCCCTTACCACTGGAAGAGCTGGACGCTGAGTGGAAGAGAACAGACTCTGAAACTTTAGTACATTTGTTCCAAGATGGAAAAAGTCGGCTAGAGTTTCAGGATCAGGCTTACAGTGGAAGAGCCAGTTTCTTTACTGAGGAGGTTGCGCGTGGAAACTTCTCTCTCCTCCTCACAAATCTGACCACTAAAGATGCAGGAGTTTACAACTGTTTTGTTTACAGTCAACAGGAAACTGGCCAAACTTCAGTCGAAATTGGTAGGTGGAAGTTTACACTTGTTTTTTTCCTAGTATTCTGCAGAAAAATAACTTTTGACTGTAAAGTCCTTAACAGTATGTTTTCATATGAATCAATGTGGAAAAAATCACTTCCTATGGATTTCTAAGTGTTACATTCTGGCTCCACCCTGTCCTGTTTCCATTCCCACCATGTCCCACTCTACTCTGGGTGATTATCAATACCAAGAAAAATGTAAAGAGCACTCTTGCGTCCTTGTACAAGTTGTAACACATGACTTTGAGTGACTTACATTATCACACACTTAAAATCTACAAATGCGGTTAATCAGAGCATGGTTTTGGCTATGGATGGGCATTTTGAATATATATGAGCCACTCAATATTTTACGATTAATGTATTATACCAACTAGGGATGGGCAGTTCAGCCAAACTTGAAATTCAAATTTCTAAGGTATTATTTGAAAAATATTCAAATTGATATTTGAATATTACTGGCAAAGTATATTTTGACTCCTTTAAAAAATATTCAGCGTTTTCTTATTAAATTGTTTCTATAAAAACACTGCATATTATCACCAATTTTGCACCTAGAAGAATGCAGCTTGGGTGAAAATGATAGAGCCAGTGGGAGAGTGAGCAGCAAGAGTCACTTAATAATGCATAAAAAACCATTCAAGGCTGGAACAAAACAAGATAGAAGGTGATAGCAGCTGTGCTAGTTCACCAGAAAGCAGTGAAGATGGTAAAGTTAGACTTGAGAACATTCTTAGTGAGGACAACCAAAAACAACAAATGATGTGATGGCTAAAATAAAGAAGTCGAATAAGAGATTAGACCAACACAGGAGTGGAAACGCAAATCCAGAATATGGAGGAGATGGTCACAGATATGCTAACAGCTTAGCTCTCGGCTAACAGAACAAGAAGGCCGTTCCAGATGTCAGAATGTAGAAGTCTATGGGGAGCCCAAGGGTTCTGAAACTACCATGGAGGCTTACCTCAAAGGGCTTACTGAAATCCCAGTTGGATACCGAGCCCCCCACTGACTTACGAATAGAAAGAGCATATTTGCCACTATCTCAGAAAACAACTGATGAATTGAAACACATGTCAGCTGTGGCATAGTTTTTTGGAGTAGCAAAAAGAAAGAAGGGACTATAAGGCTCGCTTGAGCAAAGAAGGGCTTTACGTGGCAGGGTTGTAGAACATCTATCAACCTTGACTATTCCCTTGACTACTCCTAATGGAGTGTAGCAAATACACAAAAACCAAGAAAGTATTCTGGGAAAAGCAACTTAGGTTTAAATTGCTCGTCCTGGCGAGACCGAGTGTGTGCTACAGCGAGGGAATGAAAGTGAAATGAAATTCAATTCTACGGAGGATGCAACAAGGGACGTGGTATTTGATGTTTCTCCTATGAAATTCTTTGTTTTTTTTGTGAATATATGCTCATTTCAAATGTGATGCCTGCAACAGATTCCAAAAAATTTGGAAAAGGAGCATGTTTACCACTGTGTTAGATCACCTTTCCTTTTAACAACACTTAATAATCATTTGGTGACTGAAGACACAATGTGATCCAGCTATAAAAGCAGATTTGTTTGCCATAATAAGACATACATTTTCAATGGGGGACTTCTGGACTGCAGGCAGGCCAGTATACAACCCTTACTCTCTGATTATGCAGCCGTGCTGCTGTAACAAGTGCAGAATGTGGCTTGGTGTTGTTATGTTGTAACAAGCACGGACGTCCCTGAAAAAGACGGCATCTAAAAGGCAGCAAATATTGCTCCAAAATATGTTCAACATTAATGATGCATAGTAAAGTCTTAACATTTTTGGATGCAGCAATGAACAGTGTGTATTGACAACAGTTTGTCAAAATATTCTGGGGTTGCCAACCCAAATGTTAAGAAGAGCCATTTTGTCCTCTCAAAAAAAATCAAACCACCTTGGGAACCACAACATTTTATGTCCATTTTGTTGAAGTAACATTTTACCATCTTGCGGTAAATATGTCTCCATATGTGCTTTTATGTCCTAGTATAGGCATAAAAATATAATAGAAACAAAAATGCAGACTTGCTTTGCTTTGCTTTAAGCTTTAGTTCCGCTATAGCCACTTTTCTCACATCTCTGGCAGGAAATTTTTCTGTAAAAGTAGAGTAGTTTCTTGTAAAATGTCTCTCAATGTTCAACTTTTTATTATGCTGAAGTTGCATCTCATTCGCCAGTGTCTTGTTCGAATTTTCCTGTTCCACCTTAAATGGACCCTGAGGTGCCAGAGTGTAATTGCTGCACCATTTAAGGTGGAAGGGGAAAATTCTAACAAGCAGCACAGCTAAGAATTCTCATCTGTTGGTGTAATACAAAATATTCTCTGAGATGAAAAGAAATTGAAGAATAGCTGACAGGCAACAATGGCCGATAAAACTTTGTGATTACAGCTTACAGATACTGATAATCCTTGGATCAGTTTAAGGTTTAAAATATGGGACTAAACTGTAATTGCCTAATAACTTGAGGAATTACCCAAAAATTCTTAAATGGTGCTCTACTGACACTAAGTTTACACCAAATAGAGTAGACAGTAGATTTAGAATGTGGCCTCTAAAGGGATTGCTGCCTACTGTACTACAATAAAAAGAACGAATTAAACAAAAGGACATCTGTAGTTATTTACAAATGAGACATTAATATAATATATAATAATATAGAAATTAAAGCAAAAAACTTTGTAGACCCACATAAAAACAATTTTATATGATTAATTAGTGGCTTGGGAATTAAGTGGGACTGCCAAAATTATTTTTTAGATGTACGGGGTAGTAGATTTGAATCCACTACATATATTAAATGAAATGGGTGCAAGAAGGTAATTTGGTCATTTTTGGTTCCCTGAGATTTCCTGTGGGAGGTCCTCCGGGAGTATGGGGTGTCAGGGCCACCACTCTGGGCCATTCAGTCTCTGTGCTTCTGGAGTGAGAGTTGTGTCTGTATATTTATCATTAAGTCAAGCTCATTTAGGGTGAGTATTGGACTCTGACAAGGTTGTGCCTTGTCTCTACTCCTGTTCGTTATATTCATGGACAGGGTGTCAAGGCGTGGCTGAGGTCAGGAGGACATTATGTGTGGAGACTGGAGGGTGACATCTCTGCTATTTGCAGATGATGATGTCCTTTTGCCTCCATCGCGTGGGTGTGTGTGAAGCGATTGGTATGCAGATCAGCACCTCAAAGTCTGAGTCCATGGTCTTTGCCTGGAAAAGGATGGCATACCACTCCAGGAAAGGGGAAAGGACCTGCCCCAGGTGGAAGAGTTTAAGTATCTTGGGCTCTTGCTCATGAGTGATGGGAAGAGGGATTGTGAGATAGGGCTGCAGGTTGGGCCAGGCCGAGCTTTGGGTAATGACCGAAAGAATAAGGTTAATAAATTAGCTTTCTTCGCAGGGTGGTGGGCTGCACTCTACTTGATAGGGTGAGGAGCTCAGTCATCTGGGAGAAGATCAGATTAGAGCCACTACTCCTCCACATTGGAGCCAGTTGTGGTGGTTCAGGCATCTGTTCAGGATGCCCCTGTATGCCACCAATGGGGGTCTTACCAGGCATGGCCTACTGGGACAAGACCCTGGGGTCGTCCTAGGACTCGCTGGAGGGATTATCCATGTTGGCCTGGGAGTGGGTTGGGGACCCCCTGGAAATGAGCTGGAGGAAGCTGCGGAGGACAGTGTCATCTGGGATTCTCAGCTCTCCCAACTGCTACTGCAACCCTATCTGGATTAAATAGTTAAGATGATGAATGAGTGAATGAATGAATGAATGAATTAATAAGAAAAATTAATAACATCCAATCCAAATAAATTATGGTAGTATGTGAAATGTAAATTAAAACCTATTTCAAAAAAGTGGAGGCATGCCACTTTGCTAAAGAATGCATCACCAACTGTTACCCAATGAGCAATTGCAAGAAGTTTAGGTATTTCCTGTATACATTGCACCACAGCTAATGATCTTCAACCATCAAACGACACTGCATTAAAAACATTTACATTTACAGCATTTGGCAGACGCTCTTATCCAGAGTGAATTAAAATTTGATCACTTTTTACACAGGTAAGCGACGGTAGTTTTAGGAGTCTTGCGCAAGGACTCTTATTGGTATAGTGTAAGGTGTCCAGGCAGGGATTGAACCCCAGTCTACAGCGTAGAGGGCAGAGGTGTTACCCACTACACTATACAACCACAATGCTTTCGGATATGGATATGGATGGATACATGGGCTCAGGAATGCTTTGAAAAACTGTTGTCAGCAAACACTGTTTCTCACTGAATCCACAAATGCAAGTTAAGACTGTACTATGCGCAGCTGAAGCCATGTGTCCACAATGTCCAGAAACACTGTCGACTATTCTGTTCTTGAGCTCACCTGAAATGGACTGATGCGCAATGGGAATGTGTACTGTGGTCTGATGAGCACACCTTCCACATTGTTTATGGAAATAATGGATGTCTTGTTCTCCAGGCCAAAAGAAAAGGACAATCCGGATTGTTACTGGCATAAAGGTTCAACAACCATGGTATTAGTGGGTAACCTGCGCATTTGTGATGGCATCATTAATGCCGAACACATTTTGGAGCAACGTAGGCTGCTTTTTAGATGGCGTCTTTTTCAGGGACGTCCATGTTTATTTCAACATAACACCAAGTCACATTACAGCAGCATGGCTGCATAATCAGAGCATGCCAGTGCTAGACTGGCCTGCTTGTCCTCTCCTGAAAAAATGTGGTACATTATGAAGTGCAAAATACAACAGTGAATGACCGCTTATGGTTTTGCAGCTGAAGACCGGTGTAACTGAAGATTTATTACCATATAAAGAGAACATTTATTAAGTGCTGTTTAAAGGAAAGGTGATTTAACACAGTGGTCAACATGCTCCTGTCCCAACGTTTTTCGGAATGCGTTGCAGGCGTCAAATTGGAGTTAATATATATTTATAAAAAAATGAAATTCATAAGCCAAAATAATAAATATTGTGTTTAGTACACTGTTTGCAATGTACTGCAGGTCAAACTAAATTTACTAATCACTGCTTTCTGTTTCATTGGCATAATACTGTCCCAACTGTTTTCGAACTGGATTTGTACATAAAATGTCTTTGTGTCAAATGAGGTTGAAAGTTTGTGTGTGTGTGAAATGAGCTGCAGCTTGGTGTTTATCTGTGCTTTTCTATGAGCTATTATTCTATTAGCTGAATCAATTGCCAAAGTTTTATATAAGATGTATTTTGAAATTGTATCATTTGATTTGAGACTTCTGCACTGTAATATTTCAATTGGTTCTTCTTTCAGAGTATTTGGTTGTGACTGGAGGCCATGCAGTATCTGCATATGAGCGTGAAGACGTCACTCTCAATTGCTCTGTTGACTCCTATATCCCTCCTCAAGAGCTTGAAGAAGTTTCCTGGACGAAAGTGGATCAAGACATTACAATGCTGGTCTTACAAGAGGGTGTGATCCAGACAGATTTTACCCCCAGCAGATTCAGAAACAGAGTCGAGTTCTTTGGTCCAGAAGAGATTCACAAAGGAAACTTCTCATTTAGTTTAAAGGATCTCAGAATGGAGGACAAAGGCCAGTATAGATGTGAAGTGCTCTCTGGAGAGTTTTCAGCTCAAACAACTGTGGAAATACATTTGAGTAAGTTAACATACACATGGTGGTCTTTAGTGGAACTAGAACTGTCATTGCTCTAGTGAGCCAGGCAGATCAACTTAAAGGGCTAGGCTGATTTTTATAGGGCGATCACACTTTGGCCTTTTCAGCATTGTGGAGTTGTGGTTTTCTGTGCATACATAAACATGTCAAATGACCTCAGATCCTCTAAACAGCCTCAGAAAAGAACTGTACTAAGGTGGTGTCAGTATGGTTCGTTTGAAGTTCATTTTGTGGTCAGGTTGTTTTGTACATTGTGGGAAAAAGCCCCAATCCTCTTTGTGTTTTGCTTTCTGGTAAAGACCTTGAGGCTCACTGTACACAGCCTAAGTCCTGCAAATTTTGCATTAAAAACACCTTGTACACTTAAAAAAAAGCACTATGTGGGGTGGAGGGGGCACATCTTCAGTAACCATATTCTTCTGCAGCTCTAATTTTTAAGTTGCATTGACATCATATATCCTGTATTGACTTCAGACTTTTCATTTTATTTTTCTGCTTATGTGAATGTAGTGTACATTTAAACCGTTGGACCTTAAGGACCATATTGTACCTCTGAGTGTACATTTACATTGTTTGCATTTTGAGGTACTAAAATTTACCTGGACATTTACCTGGCTCTTTTCTGACAGTGTATGTTGTGAAATAAAAAAGTAAAAAATATTACTCATCTCGCTGTGTTTGCTCTTCTTTCAGGGCTCCGTGTGCTCGGCCCCTCTGATCCTCTGATTGTGGAGCTGGGAGGCTCAGTGATGCTGCCCTGTTATGTTGAAGCCCCCATACCACTGGAAGAGCTGAAAGTGGAGTGGAAGAGAACAGACTCTGAAACTTTAGTGCATTTATTCCAAGATGGAGAAAGTCGACCAGAGGCTCAGGACCAGGCTTACAGTGGAAGAGCCAGTTTCTTTACTGAGGAGGTCAAACATGGAAACTTCTCTCTCCTGCTCACAAATCTGACCACTAAAGATGCAGGAGTTTACAACTGTTCCGTTTACAGACAACAGGAAACTGGTCAAACATTGGTTGACATTGGTAGGTGAAAGTTGACACAAATTTTTTACAGTGTTCTGCAGACATATACACACTCTCTGTGTTTGTTTTTATTTTTATAACATTTATATTCGCAACAACACCCACTCGCCTTACTTTTTGTCAAAATTAGCTGAATCAATTGCTAAACAAGCTGTATTAGAGACATATTATGAAATTGTATGATTTGATTTGAAACTTCTTCACTGTAATATTTGAATAATATCAATTATTCGATTCTTCTTTCAGAGTATTTGATTGTGACTGGAGGCCATGCAGTATCTGCATATGCGCGTGAAGACGTCACTCTCAATTGCTCTGTAGACTCCCATATCCCACCTAAAGAGCTTGAAAAGGTCTCATGGAAGAAAGTGGATCAAGACATTACAGTGCTGGTCTTCCAAGAGGGTGAGGTCCAGACAGATTTTACCCACGAGAGATTCAGAGACAGAGTTGAGTTCTTCGGCCCTGAAGAAATCCACAAAGGAAACTTCTCACTCAGAATAAAGACTCTCCAAATGGAGGACAAAGGCCTGTATAGATGTGAAGTGCTGTCTGGAGAGTTTTCAGCTCACACAACTGTGGAAATACTGTTGGGTAAGTTAACATGTACATGGTGAAATGTCTTTAGTAGAAATAGAGCCTATCATTGCTCCAGTGAGCCATATAATTGCTGATAATTGTCTGTTTGGACACTGTGCCCTAAATTACAAAGTACACTGTGTACTATGTATTTCTCTCGCTAGTGACTAGATTTATATAGTTTTGTATCATGTCAAATTTGGGCTTCATAATATATTATTTCAGTGTTGTCAACACAATGTGCCCTATGCAGTTTGGAAGTGAGATGCGGTGACAGGAGAAAGAAACAAGGCTTTCTGGAGCTTTAAAGCAACCTAATTGCTTCAGAAAATAATTAGTAGAGTACTGTTTCGAGGTCCTAGAAACACATGGGTGACATTGAAGTAGCTTTTAATATCCTGAAATAAACCTGAATTTGTCTGAAACATATTTGGCCTTTATATACAAGTAGCCCTTTATATGAGTCAATTTTAATAATGATCATTACATCATTTGCGTAATGTAAATAAATTGATTGACAGAAGTATAGATGAAAAGCCTACCTTATAACAACTGATTTGAGATCATAAGTTGCTGTATATTTTACACAGGTTCACTCTGCCCCCTGGTGCAGTGCATAACAGTCTTGCCTACATCTGAGCCTGAAATACAAAGAAACATTGAATATCCACTTCAGAATGCAGCATCTGCCTTTAGCCCCCAGGATTCCTTGATATCGAGAACACTCTTGTTGTTGTTTTTACTATATTAAATTATGACTTTTTTCAATGAGTTGACAACCAGTAAAAGTCATGCAACCCAAAAGTGATGGGATAAAATTTGATAGAGTTAAAAGCAAATAAACATTGGCCCCAATTTCAAGCCATGGGTTCTCAGTCCCAGTTCTCATGCTCCTTTGTGTACTTTCCCTCATCTGGCTCACCTCATAGAAATCACTAATCGATCCACAAGCTCTTCATGTGCTGGTTCAGGTGTTTTAGAATATGCTGTCAAAAGGTTCTGTTCAGGTACAATTTGTCCCAGAAGGTACAAACAAAGTAAATGTAGCCTCAAAGGTACAATATGGTCCTTAAGGTCAAACAGTGTAATGAGTGTTAAATGAGTTTTAAAGGTAAAATATATTCACTTTTCAAGGGACCAGGTTAATATTGCCAGCTTTTCAACTTAAAAAAATAAATAATTAAACAAAATAAAAAGCCTGGGCTCAAGACCGTGTGTATAGAGTCAGTGCAACTTCAAAAATACACTGCAACAGAACATGGTACAATTAAGTTTCCTAAGTAAATGTACTAGAGCGCCACCCCAGTGAAAGTTTAATACATTTTTACTGTGAGTATATTGAAAACACTCATATATAACAGTCAAACACTTGATCAGATACACTCCCAAATGCTGTTCTCCTGACACTCTCTAGTGGTAATTTTTCTGATAAGAAGCTGATGTGAATGTTTGGTCACACATGCAAGTAATTAACAAATTACACGTGTTTACCCACTCAGCGGATTAACTAAACAATTTAAAACACATGTTTTGATCTATATAGGCTGAGCATCATGGCAAACAGTTGATGTAAATTCCTTTCTGAGCCAACAAAGTGAGTCAGGAGATCAGATACAGTGATGTAGTTCTTTTTTTAAAAACATGCTGTGATGGCCCAGTCTGTGCTCAAACAATGCTCTGTCATGATCTTTCTGTCTGCAGGGTCCTTCTTCAGTCATTATGCCACACCCCAGCCTGCAGACCTTGGTCTGAAATGCTCTGTCTCCTGCAAATTCTGGTCTGAAGAGATCTATAAGATACCTTGTTATATACCATTGCAGCTATTGCTGGCACACCTGTGTCTCTTATCTGAAAATAAATAGCGTTACACAATTCGTTGCTCTGTTTCTGAGAATTTTGGTTTCTTTTTTACTTTGTTTTTGTTTCTTTCATCGTATCTATTTTGGCTAATCACTGCAATGGTGACTTTATGAGTAGGACTTATTTACTCTACAATGCGTTTTACATGGCATAGCGCTGTTACCTCCAAGTTTTATGAAACTGGCCAATAATGTTGTTCTGGTGGCTGCACACCACTGCTTTATAATATGATATTTTGAGTAGTTCTGCACATCACATATAGTAACACAACTCTTGTACTTTCTCCTCAGGTTTTTCCCACATACACACTGCAATACTGTTGCTCTGTGGTTTTACTTGTTTATGTGGATGTGTACTTTTGCTTGGCTGCATCACATACACTTTCTGTAAAGAGCCCGGTATGTAAAGTCTTCATTTGAACACATTTATGAGAAAATTATGACAGTGGAATTTGTTACTGAATTGTGGAGCACTCATGCAGTTGTTCTTTATCTTTTTAGGCAGTTGCACAGAAATCGTACAGCGTGTTCTTGTCTTTTGTCCAAACATTCTTATGTTTGTGGCCTTCGTCCTTTGGGGTGTGCTTAATGGTAAGTATTTTATCAGTGTTTTTATGCAACTAAGATTATAATATTCATTAAAAACCGGCAATTTTATTTGGCTGAATTACCTGAATTGGCTGAAGTTTGTGAGATTCCAAGAGATAGAATAACAGCGGCCACCTTGCTGATTACTTTGTTTACTGGCCATGGTTAACATTTCCTCAATTCCTCATGGAGGTGATGAAAAGGATGTGTCGTGGATTATGGGAAGAAAGACAAAACACATTGCTGATGCAGAAAGTTGGCACCTTCTCAATTTTTCAAATCAGCCTAAGCATCTGCAGTATTTCAGACTATCTGGTGAGAGCTGGTGTTGTGCATTCAGTTATCAGGTCAAGTTATTATTCTTGTGTTAAATTCTTGATTATTAGGTGAACACAATACACTTGTTTATGGTGGTGCCTTCTCAGGTGTGGCAGTTGCAATAATGTATTTGTGTTGCCTAATGTCATCTCAGTATATTTTGTAAAATAAAACATTTCATATTTAGGAAAATAAACAGCTGTTTAATTGTTTATAAAATCCATGTTGATTTCATTTTATATTTCATCTGCTTGAATTATAGCTTATAACGCAAACTCACAAAATAATAAAAAGCAAAAAACCCCACTATATATATATATATATATATATATATATATATATATATAAAGACACAGTGACCATGGTGTTTACAGTTCAGGCTGTTAGCTGTAATTAGGGCATGGACTTGAGTCAGACTCCAGTCATGAATTTGATGATGTCTGACTTGACCCAAGAAAATCAGAAAAGACTTGCGACTCAACTTTGTCTTGAACACCATTGACGTTAACTGATTTCTGTGACTTAGACTTGAGTCTTATGACTCCAAAAGAGTGGACACTCAAAGTAGAAGAAACACAGTGAGGTGTCTGGTTTTTAATTAAATACATTCATTTACTGGCATAGATGTGCCAGAACAGTAACAGAAGTATCTTTGATTTAGATCCAAATTTCACCAAATGTCTGTTACTATGCTTATGCTTTCTGTGTTTTATTTCAGAGCTGTGAGACTCTATAAGCTGGAAACATTAGCAAGATAAGCTGCTAGCTGTCTGCGTCATTTTAGCAACTGTATAAATTCTACAGCAAAATGATTTGTTGACATTTCTTTTTAAATGTGGTTGTCCAGTGTTTTGATTACACCATTGTGTCTATCATGGTCACTTATGTATCATAGATTTAGACATTTATTTGGAAGGATAGTACACAACAAATTTAATTTTTTATGAAAAATTTTATGATCATGGTATTTTAACCTACTGTCACTTTAATGGGCTGTATTATTGGTACAGTCATTTTTGGTGTTCAGTGTTGAAATGGCAATAAATTGGCTGAAGAACGCGTAATGACTTGTTTTGACTCAACCGGAGACTTGCCTGTACTGACATACACTATATTTACAACAACTGAGTAAATAAAAAAAATCTACAGATTCTATGAAATAGTTCTTTAGAAATTGGTTAAAAAAGCTTTTCTTAATTAAATTCACAGCATTTTAAACATGATAGTCATGATACCATTTCACATCCACAGAGCAACAAACCAACAAAAAAAGCCATTCAAGGACAAATATTAACTAAGGCTACATTCATACAGCAAGTAAAATCGGCCCAAATGTGATTTTCTCACCAAATCCGTTTTTTTTTTTGTTTGGTTGTTCACAATATCTTTTAAATGTGACCTATATGTGACATTAGTCTGAACAGGTCACGCTCCTAAACAAACCTGCATGTGCAAAAGAACAATGACTCATGTGGCATATTTATCCAGAGGTAAACAATCAAAATGGAATCAACAGTAAAAGAGGTTTGTTTCATCTTTGCCAGCATCACAGGAGCTAATTAGAAGTTGCACGTTTGTGCTTGCTGTAAAAAGATCGTGTTATTTGGTTCACGTCCTTACTTTGCTTGCAGACTTAACTTTTTGACACTGCAGCCTCGTTCTCCTACGGCCGCATTTGGCCCGTCAAACACAGAGTGATGTGGATAAGTGTCTTCTAATTTTGTTTGTACAGAAATGTCACCCCAAATGTTTATGAGGTGTCAGCAGTGCAAAATTATGTCACATTGCCACATATTGGATATCAGATGTCAGTAGCACATATTAAAGTGTTCCAAATTGGAACTGAACATTTCTGATTCTATTTGTTTTTTGCTGTTCACACTGCCATAAAGATTAACTCAAAGAAAAAAAATTGAGACACTTTTACCTGGTGTGTACACCAAACCAAAGTGAAGCTGCCCAAACAGTTTTAAACTCACTGGATGTTTGTATTTTGTGTTTTTACTTGACATAAGAACAATTATCATTAAAACTGGTTTCATGTTTCTTCAGGTTTCTTCAGTGAGGCAGCCACTTGTTTAATTATTAACCTTCTGAGGATTCTTCGCCTACTTCTATGTTCTCCATGTGTCTATAAATGTGAAGGTATGCAAACAATGGCAAGAATCTAATATTGTTTGATATGTGCCATTTTTATTGTTTTGTGTCAGTTTGTTAAACTACATTATTTTCATCACTGTCTTAACAGTGCTCTACAAAAAAGTGATATACAAAACTGCTGTTAGACAATTGCAGCATTTTTGTATGCTTAATTTCAGAATCACCTCTACAGGTTTTGTTGGGTTTTGAATTGATTTCAGCGCAGTTTACAATGAGTCAGAACATTCTTTTCATGTAATTCTGGTGGAAAGATCACAAATAGTTTCAGCTCTTTTCCTGAGGTGGTCCTATAGTTCATGATGATATGGCACTCTCAGATGAAAAGGTGCTAAACTGTCCCTCTCATCTCCATAGTACGTTTAGATAGGGAACTTTATTGTACCATAATCCATTGCAGTTATATGTGTTTTAAGTTACATTGACTTCAAACACCTCTAATTCCAGGCTTTTTTCATTTTATTTTTCTGTTTTAAAACATTAGGTTAAGAAAAGGTACCATTTTCTGACAGCGTGGTGCCCAAAATGTTTGAATAACTGGAGCAGGCAGAGAAGCTGTGATGACATAACAGTACCGTTGGCTGATGACTAGGGATGCATTGATAATGATACTGGTGTCAGGTATCTTTCCGATACCAAGCTCATTTACTCATACTTGTACAAATGCAGGGTCTGTTCACACAGAGAAGTGTTTCTGATGTCAAGGCAGTTGGAGGCAAAGCCAATCACTTTAAATACTGGCATACTTGGCATACTGCCCCGAGGCATACACTGTGATATTAGCCCATTTTTAAACACACACAAACACAATCACAACCATTTCTAAAATTGCACAGTGTATGTCTGGCTTTGGAGAGCATTTAACTGCAGCTCAACCGGCCAATCAAAAAGCTCCAACAAGAAATAAAATTCAACAACTTCAGACATATTAGCCTCAGATGTGATTCCTGCTGTCACTGTGCAACAGAGATTGCTGTTGAAAGTAACAGATGAGGATCAAAACTATTAAACATTCTTTACTTACAGCTGTACAGAAGCACTTTTCTGATGAAGAACAAAACCCACTCTTCTCCACTGCAACGCTACTTGATTCAAAGTAACTAATGTAGCTGATGATTCATAGCTAATGCACACAATTTAAAATCAGCTAGATTTAAACAGTTCAACTGTTAAGGTACATTGCACTCATTTACCTTAGCGACTTAATTATAAGTAGGTCACTTGGTATGGTGTCGGTATGGGTGAATACTTAAAAACTTACTTTTTTTACCAAAAAAATGGTATCAATGGGTCACTAGTTATGATTGTCTTATGTGTTTTCAGAATCTAACTCCTAATATCTGTTTAGAAATACAGATGAACACTGATGAAATGTAGCCTCTCAGCTACATTTGCATCCCTGCAATATTTATGGCCCTGTTTTTGAGGTTGTATTGCAAGCACCAAAATAAGGCACAAAATCGCATATGGGTGTGGCAGTTGTGTTTTTGGTATTATACGTAGAGTGGCATAGTTCTAAACCGTGTAGGAGTTAAACTAAATACATTATCAACAGGCATGGTTAGACGTGCTGCAGACATATCCAATCAGATCAACTCCTCTCATTCACGTTAAAATCATGCTATTTTCCTGATGTGAGGACATTGTTGCTTTCAAATGAAAAAGATCAAATGCATTTCTTTTTTGCATAGAGGAAAAAATGATCATCTTATAGATTTCACTTCAGTAATTTAGTAATAAATATAAAGCTGATATAATTACTATCTTGTGTAGGTTGTTCTTTTTTCTGAGGGTTCAGATGTGAGCTCTCATGGACAGAACTATTATATATTGGCTATTATTTTTATACATTTCCTATAAGGCATATATATTGAGGTTCCATGCATTATCTTTTACAGATAAAATTCAAAGTCTCATCAAGACTTTGCCTCTAATTGAATACCTTGCGTTGTCTGTAATTGCTGTGTTAGGTAAGTACACATGATTGTTACATATTAACACAAGATGACATTTGTGCATACACACAATTGTCAAAACAACATCAAAACTACTATTGCAGGGACGTTTTCATACATGTATACATGCTTCCACACAAAAATTACTAATAATGTTTTCAACTTAGTTGTTAGCCCACTGATGCACTACTAAAACCAGTGACAGTGCTGCTCTAAAGTAACATATGTTATTTTATACACCATAACTGACATAGTGTTGATCTTTTTTTTTTTTAATTTTCACCAAAAGGTCATTTTTGATGTTTATTCATTTTTTTTATAATATTTGTGTTAGAAAGAGTTTTAGGTGATAAATAATATTCTGTAATCATCTATCTACAGTTTTTGCCATGTTACACTGAGGTGTCTAAATATTTGTACATCATTATCTTTTTGTCTGCCTCAGCATATTAGAGTTAAAATTAAATGATAAGTAATTCAAAGTGCAGACTTTAAGCTGCAATTTGAGGGTCCAAATCAGATGAACAGTGTAGAAATTTGAAGCATTCTCTCACATAGCACCTCAGTTTTTAGGGGCTCAGAAGTAATTGGAGAAAATAATGTAATCATAAATTAAATTGTCTTTTTTTATACTCAGTCAGTGAATGCCTGAAGTCTTGAACCAAAGACATCACTAAACGCTGGGTTACTTCCCTGGTGATGCTGTGCCAGGCGTTTACTGCAGCTGTCTTCAGTTACTTCTTGTGCTTGGGACATTTCACCTTCAGTTTTGCCTTTTTTTTTTATATACACTCATTTCAAATTGATGTCTGCAACATGTTCCAAAACAGGATATTTTCTGCTGTTCACATTTCCTTTTAACAAAAGCTTAAATGGCCTATATCATTGGAAAACTGAATTTTTCTTGATTTTTTTAAATTAAAACAGTTACAAATGTACAACCCCAAAAAAGTTGGGACGCTGTGCAAAATGCAATAATGTGCAAATCATGTAAACCATATATTTATTTGAAAACAGTACAAAAACATATCAAATGCTGAAACTGAGAAATGTTTTATTTTTTTTATTGTTTTTGAAAAATATATGCCCATTTTGAATTTTTGCCAGCAACACATTTCAAAATAGTTGGGACGGGGGCATGTTTACCACTGTGTTTCATAACCTGTTCTTTTTACAACACTCTGTAAGTGTTTGGGAACTAAGAAGACCAGTTGCTGTAGTTTTGAAAGTGAAATATTTTTCCATTCTTGCTTGACACAAGATTTTAGCTGCTCAACAGTTCGGGGTCTCCTTTGTCATTTTTCGTTTCATAACGCTGCAGATTATTTTTCAATGGGTGACAGGTCTGGACTGCAAGCAGGCCAGTTTAGCACCTAAACTCTTTACTATGGAACCAAGCTGTAGTAAATGCAGAATGTGGTTTAGCATTGTCCTGCTGAAATAATCAAGGCCTTCCCAGAAAAAGACGTCATCTGGATGGCAGATATGTTGCTCCAATATTTCTATATTGTTCAGTATTAATGGTGTATAGATGTGCATGTTACCCATGCCATGTGCACTTATGCACCCCTATACCATAACAGATACTGGTGTTTGAACAGTGCACTGATAACA